TAACATAGCTAGGTTAAGAGATAATTGAGCATGCCATGATGTTGTTAGGATCTCATATAGTCCTTTATGGCCTTGTCCTGTAAATGGACCTTTGTGAGCTTCTAAAATATCTTTCAGGCTATGACCAATACCCCCATTGGTCCTATACATGTGACCCGCTATCGGAAAAGAATTGCAATAGCTAAATGGTGGTGTGCAATATCGTCACCATAGACCCCGATTCATCGGATCTAATCCTCCCGAAAAGTAAGAAAGTCTGCATATTTTGACCAATTCAAGGTGAAAAATGGGGTTGCTCCTTCAGCAAAACTCGGATAAAGTTGAGCCAAAAGATCCCGATTCAAGATAAATTCGTGAGGAAGCGGTATCTCTTTAGGATCTACTCCAGCGTTTAGAAATTGGTTAATCGGTAAAGAAGCATGTACTTGATGCCCCGCCCAAGAGAGAGACCCACCCTAGTAGCCCCGCCAAATGGTGATTCAACATAGATTCTACATCTTGAAACCAAGCCAATTTTGGGGCTGCTTTATGATAATGAAACCAACCAGCAAAAAGTATTAACGCTGCAAAGATCAATGCACCAATTGCAGTACAATAAAGTTGTAATTCACCGGTTATTCCGGATGCTCTCCACAGTTGAAAAAAACCAGAGGTTATTTGTATTCCTCGAAAACCTCCGCCCACATCACCATTCAAGATTTCTTGTCCCACTATTGGCCAAACTACGGGCACTAGGACTAATATGAGTTGGATCACTTAGCCATGATTCATAATTGGAAAACGAGCACCGTGGAAATACATTCCGCTCAGCCAAAGAAAGATGATGGAGAGTTGGCGAAATGGGCACTAAATACTTTTCGAGAAATTTCCTCCAAATCACTAGTATGGCTATCAAAATCGTGAGCATCGCATGTAGATTCCAGATCCAAGTGGTAGTATCGAGTCCTTTCGCTATTGTTCTTGAGAAATGGCCTGGTTTAGCCCATTGCTCAAACGAAGTTTTACGCGATCCCTATCTACCAAAATTTTTACTTTTGGTTCCGGCGAACGAATAATCATTGAGTCCTCCTCTTTCCGGACAACACATACAAAGAAACCCGCCAACAGTCAAATAATTAGTAAAAGATAGTATAGTATATAGTCCTATAATAAATTACTTTATTTCTTTTTTATTTTTCTATCTCCCATCTATCGTATTTTCTTTAGTTATTCACTAGAGCAATTATGATTGGGAAGTCGATTCGGGGCAAGTGTTCAGATCTATTATGACATAGCCAATAAGCACCCAACGGACCATTAGAATCTTATAAAACTTTTTTTCTATTTTAGATTGATCAAAAAAGGCTGTTTTGTGTAACCGAGGAGATAGTCATATACCATTTATTCATTATTTATAAGTTTTTAGATCTATCTTTTTCAACTTTTCGTTTTACATAGATTCTAATTCTATTTCAAATCACAAACAAAACCGTGCCAGAAGCCATTGGTAAGAGATATACCAATATATAGATTTAGTGATTCGAAAGGTAACTTTCTTTGATTCATTTTTATTTTCAATTTTTTCTTTTAAATTCTTTTAATTTAAATAATGAATTTTTAATTTAATATAATTTATTAATATTAATTTAATAATATTAATAATTAATTTGTCTCTTTTTTTTTATACCTACCAAATACCAGATCAAATAGAGCACTTAGAAGGGGTATAATGAAATTCTGTAGTAATTGGGTCTTCCCAAATGAATGATCCATTTTTTATTTGACTGATAGGACAAACAAACAATTCATTTTACCAAAAATGATAAAAAGATCTATAATTATAATTTATAATTATAGATAATCTAAATCTAAATATTAAATTCAATCATAAAACTAAAAGATGTCAGCTTTTTTATTCGAAACGCCTCGTGATCTTCAACCAATTGTGCGCTTCGATATAATTACCGGGAGTAAGCGATATAGCACGTTTCCAGTATTCAGCCGCTTGATCGAACCAAGCTTCCGCTATTTCTGAATCTCCCTGTCGAATGGCCTGTTCTCCTCGGTCGGAATAGGTAGTTAAATTCCTTCCCTTAGAACTATACTTGAGAGTTTCCTACCTCATACGGCTCGGCAATCAAATCTTTTGGTGTACTATTTTAATCTATTATACCTAATGAATGAGATTTATATGACTCTATCTAATTTATTCGGGTTAGCCAAAAGAGGTTAATTACATGAGTTTCAAACTAAAATTTGGATTCACAATCCATTTTATTTTTATTTAGTTTTATCTTTTGTCCCACCACCAAAAGAATAAAGTTCCTTTATAGGAATTTTATAGGAATTTTCTGAAAAGTAACTATCTCGGTTTCATCTAAAATTTTATATAGAATTTTTGAAAAGACTTTCCGTCATAAGAAAAAGACTTACTATCTTTGGGATTTGATCCTACACCGCTGCGCAAAACTTTAGGGGATCAACTCTATTACATAAGTCGATTCCTAATTTTTATCTCACATCATGCAATAAGGCTATCTATATAAGCAGCCTGACATAAGTAGTACGCAGTTATTATTCTATCGGCCTAAAACCCGGGGAATTGATCTTTACGGCGCTTCTTCTATCAATTAGATCCTTTTTTTTATCCATAGAAAAAGTAACTAGGCCTATTATCAGAATTATCCCTACGCTTGGAAGGTTTTGAAGGATTCAGAGTTTACAAACTTGAGGACAAGAAGGAAATATTCAAGAACCCTAATTCTGAGATGGTCACTAAACAGTTCGTTGAAATTTCCGAGTTGGAAAACAATGATTCCATATTTTTGGCGGATAATGGTAAATTTTGCATATCAGCAGGTTGATGATTCCATATTCTTGACGAAGGAGATTATTCATTGATTTCGGTTTGGATAACTCAACGATTACGTTAAGTCTGATTTTGAAGGATGATTTAATATGGCTGGAAGAAACAACCTTTTCAAATTTGCGTGAAATTCATAAATTCTAGGGCTTGTGTGAATAGTATATGTCATTTTCATTTACAATTTATTATCTCAAAGCTCAGATTTTGTGTAAGTTCTTAATTAATATGCTGATGTGTTGGGAACTGATGAATTTAATTAATGTAATCCCTAAACATGTTTTCTTTTTCCTTCGTATATCAGGATTCGTTGGGTCCATTTTCTCAAGGTCGAATTCCTACTACTTATTTAATTTTGAGTTGAGAGTTCAAGTAATTAATTAGTAGTACATATGTGATGCTACTAAGTACTAATAAAGGTGGGAGAGGTGAGAGGCTATATTGTAGTAGTAAGACTCAATGAATGAAGAGAGCATTAAGAATATCACATTGTTATAATGTTATATAATAATATATGATCATTAGGTTGTTATGATTCTTTTAACATTAAATTTATATACTCCCTCCATTCACAAATAGATGTTGTTGGAGAGATTTTACAAAATTTAAGGAGGCAATAATTATCTTGTTAAAATACTGTAATACCCTCTTTTGTTCTTAATTCAATTATAGTCCCAATAAAATTCAGTTCTAATACAATTATATATTAAACATCGCTATAATTTTTTATGTAAGGGTAATATTAGAAAAACATTTGACAAAATATGCTTCGATTTGTGAGAACGACATCCATTTTAGAATATTTAGTTTTTCCTCCAACAACATCTATTTGTGAACGAAGGGAGTATATTTAAAGAACTTATATAGATCATTGCTAGTCAGTCAGCTTACCTTCAGATAGAAGAAGTTACTGGTTATTGATTAATTTGTTTAATTAATTAGTACTTTAACCCAGTTGACAAATTGACATGCTTGAAACTTAAAAGTATCAAAAGCATATGGCATACCGTTTCTCATCTCATATGTCATACGATGATGTCTATTAGAGTTGCGGAAATGGACGCCTACGTTTTCATTGACCGAAGGGAAAAATAAACAGAGGCCAATAATTCCTTTAAAGTTTGTTACAATTTGATGATTTTTGAAAGTGTAAAAAAACAAACATAGGATCTTTTTGGAAGCGGACATAACCGACTGGGCCAATATTTGATTCTTTTACTTCTTCTGAGTTCTGACCCAGATTAAAAAAAAAAAAAAATCCATTTCAAATAATAATTTTTTGGGACTAAGAAGAAACATTTTAAAAATAATGTACTTTGTTGATTATTTGTTTGGGCGTTGGGGGGAGTATTTCATATTTTGCTGTGCGGGAAAACTAGAAAAAGACAGAATTATCCACATCTTCATCAGGTGTCAGCTTCAGCAGCCCGGAGAAGACTCCAAAAGAAACGGTCAAGTATTTGGCTGAAGATTCAAAGTCCACCTTTCTTCACGCGCTTCCTTTTTTTTTTTCCTTCTTTTTTTCACAGTAACTCCTTTTCTTTTCGTTTTTAAACAACTACTACCTTTTGTAATTCCTTTTTTCCAACTCTATTTTTAGGCTCCATTGGAGTTTTAAGGGTCGGAACATAGCAAATCAAGCTCATTACTTCATACAAATGAAACACGATTTAGAAAATTTATTATTACTTAGGCAAATCTAATAGATCTACATTAATTTATGGATTCGACCGAACATAGTTGAAGTCGTGTTTAGTTTTATAAGTTGAACAAAATAATATTAGCTCTATCCCAAAAAAAAATAATGCATTGAACTTTTCTGTAACTTTACTACGACAAAGTGAATAAATTAATGTTTTTTCAGTATATTAATAACTCAAAACACAGGTTTTCTTAAAAAAAAAAGTAATACTTAATGGATTAATAGTATCATGTTGGATAAGAGTACAACATCTCTGGTGACACGATCTTGATTTGAATGTAACATTATCTTGAATCTTGATTAGGGAAAAAAAAGTTAGAAATAGAAAAAAAAAAAATGGGGGGTTCTAATGCAATTAGCCTGTTTCTTCTACCATTGCTTCATGGTTAAGTTGATAAGAACAGTAAGAATGTCACAATTCTCCATTACTTCTAGACAATGATGAATTTTCCTTAACGAAGAGGAAAAAAAATCAAAGTAATCTTAACACTCTGTTTTCTTTTTTTCCCACATTCAGGCATTTCTTTTTCCAAATATTATAATGCAAATAATTTTCATTTTCATTACAATTTTTTTAGATATGTATAAGGAAAACCGGAAAAGAAAGAAAAAGGAGTTAGAATATACTCAAATATTCAAATTGGAAACAGGGGATAAAAAATAGAAATTGAAAATTTATATTTCCGAGTGGGGGTGAAGTCTTCAAACGGTTTCTATCTACTCCTACTTCTCTCCATCTTGAGACCTTCCTCCCCTCTTCTTCACGAAGATTCATTCAATCCAATCCAAGCCAAACCCTTTTTTTCCCCCGTGGAATTCGAACTTATATATTGGTGCTTTCCACTTCGAAAATTTTTCAAACTTCGCCTAATATTACGAACAATATTCCACCATTTGAAAGTAAAGGAGATTGATTTTTTTTTTTTTTTTGAAATCCCAAGAGGAGGACAAGAAAAGAAGACTTCCTTGGCTGTTTACTTGATTCTTAGGAAACCCTTTTCAGTTTCTGTGTTGCTGATAGTATTCAAGGTACTTCCGACTCTGTATAGCCTTTCCCTTTCTGGGTTTTTATTTTCTCTGAGTTTTAGTGATTATGCCCTTTTTACTGAAATGTTTATAGAAATCTGCAACTTGATATTGTGTAATAATTTATCTTTGGGTTGATTCTTGGATGGTCCGTGTTTCAATGGTTGATTTTGGTGGGGGTTCTTCATTGTGATTCCCTGAATAGCTTGGACATGTTTGTGTTTCAATCGTTCTTGATATGGGTTTTTCTTTGTTCCGATCAGATGAAGACCTTGAGATTGTATTTGGGCCTTTTTTTTTTTTTTTTCTCTCTCTTTTCCCGTTTGGGATTTTTGAGTTTTAAAGGAGTTGGTGGAATAGTGATTCTTGAGTTTGACTTGGTGGGGTTCAACTCTGGTTTTTATTCCTTCAATTCGTGTAATAAATTGGGAAAAGCATATTGGGAATTTTGTTGATCATGTTCCCATTTATCGAAAAAAATCACCATATATCGAATCTCATAAAAGTTTCTGAATTGACTTGTAGGAGGAGGGGATTGGGATGCCCTCCATATTTTTTGTCTTTTTTATTTTTCTATTGGGCACTGTTTGAATGTTTAAGAAGATTGGTTTCTTAGAGGAGATATCTGAAACCTGTTACGTGAGGATATTGGTGAAAGATAGTGTCCTATCTCTGTTTTGCATTATCCTTCTTCGGCTGAATGTTCGATCTGTTTGTGTTCCTTAAGTTAATCTTTCAGACGACTCTATATTCTTTTATCATCGTAGTCTTCTACTCATTCGGAATTGGTGAAGATTGGTTGATTTTGTATTCTGTTGGCCAAGTTTTAAGTGCCTTCTTGTGGTTCACTTACAAGTACTCCTTTTTCTTTGCAGGAAACTGATCTGTGGAATCTTTCCTAGCTGATAACCTTGCCTCTATTTCATTATTGTACTCAAAATGTTTGGTCACAAGAAGTCTCCATTACACAGGAATGCCAGACAGAGCTCAGTCGATGCTAAATTTTCTACCTCTAACCCCTTTGATTCTGATGGCGAGTCAGAGAAAAAGCAATCTCTTACATCCTCTCGTAGAACGTCTTCGGAGCCCGCATTAGTTACAAAACATATGAGCAGCAATTCATTTGATGATGAACTGGATAAAGGCACTCCATCAGCTGGTTATTTCTCTGCCTCAACAGCAAGAAACAATTACAAAAATGACTTCCGTGACTCTGGAGGATTAGAGAGCCAAACTGTTGAAGAATTGGAGAATTATGCTGTATACAAAGCCGAAGAGACTACAAAGTCTGTCAATGGATGCCTTAAGATTGCCAACGAGATAAGGGAGGATGCTACTAAAACTATGATCACCTTGCATCAACAAGGAGAACAAATAACAAGGACCCACCACACTGCTGCGGAAATTGATTACGACCTTAGCAGGGTATGGTCTATGCAGTTGTTTTCTTTTTCTTCTTATCTTTTTTAAACATATTGTCAAAAATAATGGTCTGGACCCAATACACCACTTCAATTATTGTTAGTTTGACGAGGAATTTTGTTTGTGCTGTCTGTTGTCAACCTTCGGATTTTTTTGGGTGAAACCTTTTTCTCTCTCATGCTGAAACACATATTTTTGTAGTTATTGATTACGCATTTGAGAAAACTCGAACTATTGTCCTATTCCAGTTTCGTCCGCAGCAATTAAATCGTTGGCCTTCGTTCGGACATCTAACTGGATAGAAGTCGCTAACATTGTTGTGGAAAACCCAATAGAAATATCATATCTGTTGCTTTTCATTGTCATAAAATTCACGGTTCACCTTTTCCATGCTCCAGTATGATTGGCATGTGAGTTTTAGGTTTGTGTGGTTTATAGTCGTACCCTAGAAAGATTACTGTAGTTTTCAATCCCTCTTTGCGTGGTTTACATTTGGCATTGTCCTTCCTCTGCTATTCTGGCTACTAGAAATTAGATAGATCGACTAAGGCTGATGTCTTGAAAGGTACAAGTTTCAATTTGAGGGATAGAGGAGGCTAAGTTATATATATTATTGCTAAGATGAATGTTCCCCTTTATCTGGTTTATGTTAAATTCCCTTATTTTCCAAGTTACAACCTTGGTCTTACAGTCTACCTCTTGTTATGTCCTGTCTGAAGCTCCGAGTTGTAATGATGAGCACCTTTGAGCTGTGGCATACTAAAACTTAGAGTTGCATACTCTTTGCTTGCAGCACCATCAATGTCTCCTTCCACTGCACCTTTAGAGTTGTGTAGTTGTTACTTTCATTTTTTGGGTATCTTTAATGATTTCCTCCTGATATCCTGATGTGGAGTATCTCTTCTGCATGCAAGCTTCATTTGCTGTCTTTTTAGAGTTTTTAGTCAATAGATTATTAGGAGAATTAATGTTTTTTTCATTTTACATCTCAGGGTGAAAAGCTTTTGGGAAGTTTAGGAGGCTTATTCTCAAAAACTTGGAAGCCAAAGAAGAATCGTCACATAACTGGGCCTGTAACCATAAGGGGTAATTTTCATATTCGTTATCATCTCTTTCTTTGCCCTGCACGTGCAGATATGAATTCTGAGTGTTGAATGGGCTTATCAGCTGAAGAACATAGGATTGGGAGTATTTCTGGTTGTTCACCGTGCATGCTCATAGCATTCTGTTTGTTCTGCAGATGATCCTGCATATAGGAGAGGCAGCCACCTGGAGCAGAGAGAGAAACTAGGATTGACTTCTGCACATCAGGAAAGGGCCAAAACACGACCTCCAGTTCCAGAACCGACAAACAATCTGCAGAAAGTTGAGGTATTATTTTGCAAACTAAGATTTAATAGGGGCCAAAATTTACAATTTTACTGAAGTTTGAAGGTGTGGTAAATGATATATCAAAGAAACAGTTATAATTTCTGCAGAAATCTATTTGGTCCGGCCTTTTTTTGAAAATACAATTTGCTGCTGAAATTGTGTTATGCGTCAATAAGATGCTTCTGTTCACTTAACATACAAGTTACCACACTGTGCTTTGACGCTGAATTTTTACTTGTGTTTTACCGGAACACTGTGGCAAGGTAGTATCCATGTAGGTGGCCCACATGGTGGGCGAAGTCTGTTCTTTTCATCTTGTTGTATGTTTCAACTCGACATTTGTAACAATGGCCACATATTTTTTGTGCTCCATATCACTGTATGATGACAGGTCTATGATAATTATTGCGTCGCTTTTGGATTATTTTCATTTGCTTCGTGTGATAACTTCAGGGTCTCTTTATTCGGCCTTCTCATTTGCTCTCTCATTTTAAATGACATCATTCAGTCACCATCACACCTCTATAATTTAGTATATTTTCCCCGTAGGACATATCAGTTGCTACTTAATTGCGTTTCAAGTTAGTCGAATCGACTATCATGAACGATGTGGTTTGCTTTTCCAAATTGAGTGAGGAAGATGTGGTTAGTTTTGTTGAAAATCTTGAGCTGATTAACATGTGATGATGTACAGGTAGAAAAGATGAAGCAAGATGATGCGTTGTCAGATTTGAGCAATGTCTTGGGGGAGCTGAAGTCAATGGCTATTGACATGGGAGCAGAAATTGAAAAGTAAGCCAACTTTCTTGTTTCTTTTTCTACCTCTATTATTTTTCATTCACTTTTGAGATGTTTGTTGTGCCTATGTCGCCACTCTTATGTTGCCTATTGTGTTTGCCTGTTTTCTTTCTAATTCTCAATACATGATTCTTTGGATACTGCAGGCAGAACATTGGCTTGGATCATCTGCAGGATGATGTAGATGAGATAAACTTCAGAGTTAAAGGCGCCAATCAGCGTGGACGCCGGCTGCTTGGCAAGTAGGAGAAGCTAAGTTTCTGAACAAAACTAAGAAGACATGCAAATTGCCAAGTATTATTACCCCTGTACAGATGCCGGGATAAAATATGACCAAGGCTGTCGGTTTTTACATTTAATCAGACGTCCTGTTCATTTCATCTACATTTGATTCTTGACGGCATTTGATATGCCTAATTCCTTTGCCCCTTTTCAACATGGTAATTAGGGGTGTGATTTTGAGTTTGCAGAAAATTCGACATTGAACTGTCATTTGATGAACTCGTCTTTCTTCATTCATTGTATTACACGTTTCAGTTGATGCAGAAAAATGTGTCAATTTGGAAAAGTGATCCTATGCCTTGATTCGCCTGATCTACATTTGTAAACTTTGAAAACTGAGTTGTGGAATAGACTGATCTAAAATTGTAATGAAAACTGTCCGACAGTTCTGAAAAATTGACATTCATCGAAGAATCCATGCAAACAGTTGAGTAGCTGATTATGAGAGTTAAAGGGAAGATAGCAATCCATCTCATCAAATCTTAAAGATTTGTAGACAAAGACGCTAATATGTATATATATCTCCTCTACATAATTTTGGACTATTTTTAGGAGAGAAATGGAGGAATACCTAAACAAACAGAGTAACTACGCATATCTAATGCTTGTGTTACCACAAACACTACAATAAACGAGGTCAACGAGATATCTACCTTATTTTACACCATGGATTAAACTTCCAGAGTAGACATAGTCCGGCCAGTAGCGGACAATACAAACTAAGAGAGGCTGAGCATGCACGCATCTATACTGGCCCCGAAACCCTACAGATTCAGCAACCACCGCCACCGCCACCACCTCCACAGCCTCCTCCTCCTCCCCCCCCACCACCACAACCGCCACCTCCACCTCCACCTCCAGAATTACACCCTCCCCCTCCACCAGGACCACCACCACCTCCGCTATACAATGCGGCGGTTTGAAGGCTACCTAAATTTGAATAAACAGGAGTGAAACCGCTAGAGGAGGATTGTTTACGACTCCCACGAGGTGGAGCATCGCTGGTTTTGTCTCCGCAAGCAAAGATGATCATAGCCAAGATTGAGGCAGAGATGAAAATCATGCCAATGATGAACACAATTCGGGATTCTTCAAGCTGCAAAAGACTAAACTCATGGTTACTTGTGATATTACCTAAGCTTGTAAATAAAAACCTGGCCAATATTTTTCGTTAATCTTCTTATTGAATGAAGAAAGCATATGCATCCTTATATAAGCTGTGCGAGAGACACATCACATGTTGAACTCAATTATTCTTTTCCAAACTTAGTGAATCTTATCAGAATCACTGAAGTATACTCTCTTTTGAAAACCATTACTCCCAAAGAAATGAGAAAGATGAATGCATATTCCATAAATGTTATTGATTCCAGAAGTCATCAACATATTAACACTTTATATTAGATTTAGTAACGTGTTTGCGGTGGGAGTGGTACCTAAGGTTTGGAAATAGTTAATGACGTGCGGTACCGTGTCACGATCAAAGGACAATTATGGAATCATTGTTTTCCAACTCGGAGATTTCAACCCAATTGAAGGTACCATTCTTCAGTACTATTGTCGTCCCATGCGGCTCTCTTTTTCACCGTGACCAGTTTGAAAACTTTGAATACTACTGTGTCCGACGGTATTTCGCCATGTCTTTTCACTAGTAACAAGTCTCCAATTGGAAGTTTCCACGAAATACAACAAAGTAGACACAACAACATAGTCACGTTGAGGTCGCGCGTGGGGGCCGATCTCGATCAAGGGAATGAACTCATCTTGACTGTAGTCAAATGCAACAACCCTATTCTCGCAATCCACTGAGTATAACAATCCAGATTTTCTTTCTGGAAAAAGGGTTATAGAGAGCCGGATTGTTTTCTTCAGTACTATTGTGATTTTTGATTCAGAGCTATGGACCGAAACAATTTGCAAACTGCTCCGAATTGGATGTAATCATCGATAAGTAATTTACTCAGAATCACATCCCAAAGTTGTTCGGGAATACTATTAGTCCAACCTGTGGACTCTTCTGTGGATTCAATCCAAACAACTTCATCCGTACGTACTTAACAAGGACCATCGATTAGAGAGAGTGAGTTAATCGTTGACCTAAATCCAACATAATGAATTAACAATGAATGATAAAAAAAATCGTAATAAATTCCGAATAAGAGAAGTTGTACATATATAATCCTTAACCAGCACCAAACTCACCTAACTAGGATTTTCTTAGGAAAGACTGGACAAAATTGTTTTCGTACCTTATTATTGCGTTAAACTATTGTTAGTCGTATTTATATAGTAATTATTTTACTTTAATAATTTACTCAATTTATAATGTAGCTCTATCGAGTTTCTGGGTACTATGAGTTGAATTTGCCTTTGACAAATTAGATTATTGGTTTCAGATTATCTCTTGTGGGAAGTGGGAACGGTTCTTTTGTTTCGAATTTTTTTGGTAGCTTTAATTTTAGAAAATTCTATAGTGGTTCTCCATATTTTCAACAAGGAAAACTTAAACTCTATGTGTATATGTGTTGGCTTTTAATAATTACTATTATAAATCATGTTTCAGAAAACAAAAAAAAATATATCTATATATATATATCCTACTATATTAGAAACAAAAATCTCCCTTTCAAACACCTCATATGATTGCCACGTGGCATGTAGAAAATACTAAATTGCCCTTTTGTCTAACCATAACTAAATTACTAAATCTCCCTTTGCACTTTACGTGACACGTTTTTTTTTTAATTTTTTCTTTATGTTTCATTCAACTAGAGTGGTTTTTTAAATTGAATTGATCAATTAGGTTTTTTGTTACAAAGTGTCAATTTTGTTTTAAGCGTATACCCTTCGGATGAAACTTATTACAAAACTATTAAAAATCTCCAAAACTAAGTATTGATTTGGCACGACCAATGGAGAACATCAATAAATCATCTTACTAATATTTAAATTTATTAGGATGCTTTTATATTTTATCTAACATTTACTTCAACACATATATTCGATTAAGCTATTTATATTTAATAAGTAACACTTATAAAACATTTATAAAACATACATGGCGAAATACAATTTATGTTTTTTTTGCGAAATACAAATATTTCTATGATCACACTTATAAAACATTTCTAAATACTTCAAACATTTCTAAAATATATCGCTCCAAATACAAAATTTTATTTTTTTTAAATATAAACATTTCTAAGATCTACAGATAGACTGGGCCAGGTTGCGCGACCAGACATCACTAGTATATATATAAATAAATATAAAAATTAGAGAAGAACAAACCTTTGTCTCTTACCGACTCTAGTTAACACGTAGCTACATCCAGTTACTTATTTCTTATATTCGAAAAAAGGGAAAAAAAAAAAAAAATCTGACCTGAACTTTGTTAGAAAATTCTTCTTCTGAGCTGCGATTGAACTGGTGATGGGAAAGGGTCGAGAGAAGCGGTGAGGATCGGAGTGGAGTAACCACCGAATTCGATTCGATGCCGGAGAACGAGTCGACGCCAGAGCATCGCCGGGGAGGCTACAACATAGTACGAATCAGCGACAAATTCAAACAGGGCAGATACGTGGTACAGAAAAAGCTCGGCCAGGGACACTTCTCCACCGTTTGGCTGGCTCGGGATACTCATGAATCTTCTAGATACGTAGCTTTGAAAATTCAGAAAAGCGCGAAGAAATACGCCCAATCGGCCAAGGACGAAATCGTGATACTGAAGAAGGTTGCGGAAGGAGATCCAGAGGATAAGAATTGTGTTGTGAAATTGTTGGATCACTTTAATCATTCGGGTCCCAACGGGGAACATGTTTGTATGGTTTTTGAGTATTTGGGTGATAATCTTCTGACATTGATTATTCTTTCTCCGGAATCGGAGGAAGAATTCCGCTTTGTAAGGTGAAGGAACTCTGTTTCCACATTCTGGTTGGTTTGGACTACCTTCATCGCAAGTTTTCCATCATCCATACCGACCTGAAACCGGATAACATCCTGTTCCTTTCCTCGATTGATTCGGGTAAAGGGCATAAGCGAAGCCGCCACGACACAAGCCGGAATCTGCTTGCTGATCTCGAGGATGTGAAGTGCAAAGTGGCTGATCTTGGAAATGCTTGTTGGACGCATAAACAGTTTACTGGTAATATTCAGACAAGGCAGTATAGGTGCCCTGAGGTAATCCTCGGATCAAAATACTGGACTTCAGCTGATCTATGGTCGTTAGCTTGTATATGTTTTGAGCTGGCCACCGGAGATTGTCTGTTTCGTCCTCGTTCTGGTGAGAATCATAGCAAGGAAGAGGGTCACTTGGCATTGATGATGGAGCTTCTAGGGACAATGCCGCGGAAGATTGCCTTAGGTGGCCGTCGTTCAGGGGAACTTTTCAACAGATTTGGAGTTCTGAAGAACGTTAGTAGATTAAAATTCTGGTCCCTCAGTAAGGTGCTTGCGGAAAAATATAGATTTAGTGAGGCTGATGCGGAAGAATTGGCAGACTTCTTACTGCCAATACTCGATTTCGTGCCCGAGAACAGGCCTACTGCGGCACAGTGTCTGAGGCATCCTTGGTTGAACAAGGTTCCTCGGCATATTGTGCAATCGTCGGCTAAAACTTCCCTCCCGGAAACCACTCGAAAACGGAGGTGCAGAAGGGAAGAAAGGGAGGTTATCTATGTACTATATTGATGGAAGTTCAAACGAAGTATTTGCTAGCCATAGTCATAGCTTTAACAGCTTAGTTGCTTTGTAGGCAAACAAAATAGATGATTCTTCCCATTTGGGATCATTGTTGAATTTGCGCTCAGTATAAAAATTTTGTAATCAGAATCAAAAGTAAAGATAGAAATCGATTGATATATTCTCTGTATAAATAACAATCCAATCGACATAAATGTTTAAGTGATACTAAATTCAGCAAGAAAAGATCATTAATTCTCCCATGTTTGACATCATCATCATCAACACGTTAATTGAATGTCAAAAAATTAATTAGTTTGCAACATTGTAGCAACTAATTAATAACAAGATTTTCACACAAATATATAATAATTACTGTTTCATCCATTATTCAAAAGAAAAAGTGTGATGTTAATTGGGTTCAAATAGTAAAAAAATTTTTGATTTCCGGATGGGAGTCAAAGGCCAATGTTCATCTGTCAAAAATTAATCAGCAGAAACAACCTCAACCGGCTTAACATCACATATAGCAAACGTAGAGGTGATCAAAATTCAAAGTGATGAAACTTGTATTTTAATTCTAGAATGACCAAACAACAGCAAATTTATAACTGGATCCGGAGCTTAGCCAAGTTCATGTGATGCTAGCCAGAGATGGAGGGGGGTATCGACTTGAATACAAACTCTCATCGACATTTACGATTGGAATGGTCGTCCAAGCCGGTAGACTAATAGTTTGACAAATGGACCAAGTGAACGGCATAGAGGCAGTATAATGTAATTGATATTATGCAGTTGAGCAACCAAAAAAACAAGAGGGTAAAAGGTCAACAACCCAACTTCATTCGAATTGAAGAAAAGAAAACGTCCAAGAAAACAATATTCAAGAGAATTAATAAACTGTTATCCGAATTCGTGCTGCTACTAATTAAACTCTACACACAACCCACCCTTGGCCTTGGGGAAATTGAACTTGCACCTTAGAAGTCTTTTATAGCTATAACTCTCGTGATCTCAACTTCTATTATTAAGGTATCATACACAAGGAAGCCCTTTGTCTCATCCTGAGCCGCAGAAAGGCTTTATATCCCCAATCTTTAGCATCAGAAGTGAACAAGTGACCACTTGCAATGTGAATTGTGCATGAAATAACATTTCAAATGTATACGATATCTTTTCAAGTACCCCATTGGTCCCAGTATAAAGGTCTTTTTTTTGGAAATAAAAAAAGGAAAATAATGATTCTAGAAACATGGCCGTTATCATGTAGACACCTCAAGAAAAAGTATTTGAGAAAGAGCATTACACAGGTGCATACAAGTCTGCATATTTCATACCTCTTTTCTCACGATGATGGGCAAGTGTCTGGTCTTTGATCCTAAGCTTGAATTCGGATTAGACTTTACTCTCACTATAATCATTGTGCAAATGAAGATAGACTGAAATACTTTTACCTTCCTCAGAATGGTTCCCTCTTGGATAGAAATCAATACTCCTACAACAGAGGAAAGAAAATCCCAAATTCATAGAGACTTAGAAGGAAATCAACCGTAATCAATCTTCTGTGCAACTGATAATGAACTTATGTAACAGAATCAATGAAATTGAAGGGCATACCATTTATGATTTTCAAGACTAAACTCCGGAGACTTATACACCCCGCTTTTAGGCAGAGTTGAGTAGCCAGTGACTTTCCAACTGTAGATTGTGGATGAGTTGCTTATTTGTTTCTCTGGTCGACCGACACCCTCAGCTCTGCCACTATATTGACAAACTGAAACCTCAACTCCGAAAACACATTCATCATGGAATAAGTATCCATTTCTAGGATCCTCGAACTCAAGAAGACGCAGCAATTTGGGAAAGCCCCATCGTTTCTTAATTTCATTGAATCTTCTGTGATCAGCTGAACTCAACAAAACATAGAAGTCGAAGGTAAGCTTGGGCATAGCAAAAGCCAATTGGATATTAGAAGCAGGTTCAAAACTTCTAGAACAATCAGATCCGAAGATTCATACAACAAGAGAATATCAACGAGTGAGTATTACCTTGAACAGTCAAATACTTGTCTCGGATATGATCCAACACAAAGAATTTGAAGGTCGCAATTACTTCCCATCCAAGAGGCAAATCACTAGTCGCTTGAATACTCAGGTAAAGTGATATATGCCCTGCACCATTTCGTTCTTCGTTGCCGCTAGGGAAGAGAGATATACTCCTTCATAAAAACATAAACGTCAAACTCATACATCATCTACTTTGTTCTTATGAGGCCATCTAAAATCCAATGTGATTGTAATTTTACAGCATCCACTAGTCAAAATATAAGTTTTGCATTAAAATCCAATTAGCCAGCATGTAGTGTGCGCAAAGAGTTTGAAGTGTAGGAATCATACTTCTATTTCACAACTCCTGAATTTGGGTTTAGACGGCAAACCATCACTTGTATTTTTTTCAAAAAACTTAGGTGACTTTCACATTTACGAAATTGCAAATTATTCTTAGCACTAGCACGATCTCGCATATCTGATTCGCACATTTCAAAACTTAAGTTCCGATGGAAATTCAACAAAATTGAGGTCAAAGGCAGTCCTTTAGAATTCAAACAAAACCCTATTTTACTTTGGATGAATGGCGACAAATTCAAATCCTACTCTTCAAGCCTATCCTTCACACTACATAAAAAGTTACCCAGCCAAAGGCAACAGAGGAAAAAATATAAGGGACAAAGGGAGTAAGAGATAAAATTAAGGAAAAAATCCAAAAAAAAACAAACGGGAACTGCAAAAAGAAAAAATGTAATAGATATAAACGATTCTTTATTTTGAAGATTAAGGAGATATACATACCAGACGAAGATGCCGCAGACTCAAAGGGTTTTGTGTCCGCCATGGTTGACTGCTTTTCTTCAATCATCAGTTCGTCAACTTCTACTAAAGAAAGAAATAAAATTAAGGAAAATGATGTATATAGTGAGAAAAAAAAATAGTGACTGAAGTGGAGTAATTATGGTCCTTATTTTTTTGTCGAGCAATTATAGAGATGGTGACAAATTGTAGTGAAATAAAATAGTGACTCATGAAAAAATAAATACACCATCCTCACTAAATATGTGTACTAATTATTTAAGGTTAAAAATATAATTTTTGTAGGGAAATGTAAAATTACTGGGAAAGTGGCAAAAAAATTAGGGGCCAAGAATACTCCACATTATTCACTATTTTCTTTCACTATTTTTTTATCATTTTCTTTTTTTGTCACTCCGGTTAAAATTTTATCTTTTCCGTTAAATTACCTTTTTGTCCTTAATTAATAAATACATATGTATAGAGAGTGTGGTGTAAATGTGTTTTTATTAGTCACTATCCAAATTCACTATATTTTGCCACTATGCATATCATTGCTCTAAAATTAATATGTTTTGTCACACTGATATTCTGTCACTATATTTTGTGACACTGATATGCCGGAGGGCTATGTTGTATATGTGTATCTATTTCTATCTATCTACTTATATAGTCTTCTTTATAATAACTTGCTAAAGGGAAAATCCAGATACATGCTGTCAATTTCCCCATTTTTTAATTTATTACAAAGAAAAAAATTAGAAAATTGAACAATAAATATTTAAAGATCGATAAGCAAGAACTCTTGAATAATTTGTATTAGGTACACAATAATTCAACAATACAAAAATTTAATATAAAAATACTTACATGCACCTGAAGAAACATCAACGGGCTGAGAAATTGACATATTGACATAAATTAAACAAGTTATAGAGGAATCATACTTCTATTTCACAACTCCTAAATTTGGGTTTAGAACATGCTAGAACTGCAAGGGAATATGAAAAGGGTTTAATAAATGAAAGATTTTCAGCCGTTGTTACATCAATGGGTTTTGGATAACAAACCTCAATATTGGGGCAATGTCTTGTTTAGTAAACTACGTTGGGATTGGATAAATAGTAATATTGCTGAAAGTTCCAAGGCTTGGATGGGTGACGTAAGATATTTATCTATGGGAAAAATGATGCAAGCTCATGTAACAAAGTATTCTGAACTATTGCTTAACTAGGTTTTTGACTTTCGTAGCTGAATCATGGCACTAGATGTAGAATTGAAGTCAAACTCAATGAAAACATCAAACGAGGAGAAGGATTAACAGCATCTCTAAGGCCTCTTCCTGAGGTTGAATTTTATGAGAGGCATAAAGGTCGTTGTAGTTAATTTTGGCACTAGTAGCTGCACATTTTTAGAATGCAAAGAGACTAGAATTCCCTGTTGTCATGCTTCATGTGCAATTGAAATCATAATTTAAATTTCTATGATCATGTTAATGCCTGGTATAAAAAGGACATATAAGAAAATATATTTTGAACTGGTGCAAGGTATTCCAACAAATGACATTCGAATATTCAATATGCTACCGGTTGCGAAACATAATGATGGTTATATTGAAGGTTCATGCTCAATGTGTGAATTGCAACATAAAGACTAAGAGGCCTCTAGGTAGACGCCACCGTAAAAGAATTGAGCCTCGATTCATGGATACAAGACCACTTTATTCTTCACGTTGCAAAGGCGGCGGCCACAATCTTGCTACATTTATAGAAGCAATATAAGTTTCTTTTATTTTTACTTTTATAGACCTATTATTTTGTATTTTGGATTATTTTTTCTTGAAAGTTTAAGTTAAATACGAGCTGCATTGACATTTTTTGTGTGAATGGTATCATATTCCTGAGACGTCTTTTGCTTTATATAGCTTATTGAAAGTGACTTGTCTCAAGTAATCTATTCGCAAATTTTTCAGAGGTTTAAAAATTTGGGATGCATTTATGCACTTCTGAGTTGTCTGTTCCATTGGCTAAAGTTGGTATGCACTTCTAAGTTGGTATTCAATTCAACATATAATATTCTTGATTTAGCATTTGAAGCTCAAGCAAACTATTTAGGATCATGATTATCAAATTTGAGAGAGAGCATATAATTCAGAATATAAGTCCAATTGTGGTATTGACAGCAAGTACAATGTTTGTCTTCTAAGATGTTCGCGGTACCATTCAAAACGCTTCCTCGAGGAGAGCTTTTCCAGGATGCAAATGATTGTAATGGTGATTTTGGAGAATGTTTTCTTGAATTTTTGAGGGTATTCTGTTGAGTTCTACATTCCGGACTGAAAGCATTTGTGCTTTCAAGCTTCGTATGATCCAATGGAGGCGGGTTCTCGCAAAAACATGTGCCAGAAGTGGAGGTTCAGTCTTTGTACTTGATGATGGGTTAGGGGGTTGTTACCGGGTGCTTTGGTTAAAAAATCTACTAGAAAAAGGAGTAGAGAGATCTATATATTTTTTTTTTGTAAAGTAAAATGTGGAGATCGGATTTATAAAATCCGATCTATTAATTAAATTAGTAGTTCGGATTTAACGAATCCGATTTAATAAAATAAGAATTTTTTTTTCGGAAAATACATGTGAGAAAACTGTATTGAAAGTCAAATAATAACAGTAAAAGGTCGGATTTTAGGAATCCGACCTTGTTTATTTTTATTAAAAAAATATAGGCTGGAGATTTGAAAATTAAGAACAGTACAAGGTCGGATTTACAAAATTCGACCTTATTTAAGCATACCTAACAGTAGATATCGGCATTGAATGGACGTTATTAGCTGGCAAAAGGTCGGATTCTTGAAATCCGGCCTTCCTATTAAATCAGATTTCCTAAATCTGATCTTACTTATGAACTCGGAAAACACTGTTCACATATCGGGATTTTTGGTAAAGGAGGCTATTTCTTGAAGGAGGAGGTGATTTAAGTGACGATTTGAAAATTTTGTTCACGATTCTTCGCAACGGATGTCTTAAAACCATTTCACAAGAAGGTTAGTTAATGTTTTGATGTATTTAGAATTATTGTTGTTATTTTCTTTGTAAAAGTGTTGAACTAGAATGATTTATAAGGTTTTAGGGTTGATGTTGGATGTAGTTGATGATTGTTGTTGTATACGTGGTATTGAACGTTCAATTTAGTAAAATGCTTGAATTTGGCCTAAACTTTTGAATTTGTAGGGGGTTTAGTAAATTTAGTGTTGATTATGCCTTGTTTGTGGTAATTGTTATAATAAGTTGTTTGATAATGCCTTGTTTGTGGTAATTGTTATATATACTTGATTTTAGCAATGATGCTTATTTGTATCTCGAGGAGATTGATGCTTGTCAGTGGACTCTTGCCAAAGACAAACACTATCGTAGGGGTAACCAGACAACGAAAATTTCTGAGAGCTACAACAACGTCCTCAAGGATGTTTGTTTCTTGCCAATCCGAGCTTTGGTGAAGCCACTTTTATTAAGACCGTGGATTTGTTCCAGGAAGAATACGTGAAGTCGAGGAAATGTATTACGCCGGTCCCAACTTACTTGTGGGAAGACTTCAAGAGAAAAGAAAAGAAAGTCGCGCAACACAAAGTCAACCGTTATGGTGCTATTAATGGCAAGTTCAAGGTGAAAAGTAGAGCCCGACTTGGTGGTAAAGGGGACAACACGTACACTGTGAAATATGAAGAGAAGAAGTGTTCTTACAAGAAGTGGCAAGAGTATAGGTTCCCTTGTACACATGCACTAGCTGTTTGTCGGAAGCTAAAAGATCAACCAATCAATACGGTGAATCCATATTTCAGGGTTGCTTGGCAAGACCAATTCAGTGGGCGCGATGACTTTTCCCCGATCCCTGATATGAGAAGATGGCCTAAGGTTGGATGGAGACTCGTTCCTAACTACGAGCGAGTTATTATGCATGCTGGACCCGGTCGTTGGCAAAAGAAGAGATTTAAAATGTAAATGGATTATAGGGGACGCAAATCGAGGGGTGAATGTTTGAGATGTGGCTCAAGGAATCATTTCACCAATGCGTGCCCAAAATCACACAAGAAATCCGATAGGACAAGGCTCAAGATCAATTGGGACGCCGATGGTATTCACAACGACTAGGATTGTTTGGTTGAATTGTTGTTTATGTAGCAAAACAATGTTTTATGTCTCAAAACTTTTGTAGTTTATGCTTTAGTTTGTTCGATTTGTAGTTTATGTTTTAGTTCTTTTGAATTGTATTGTACGCTTAATGAATTAGTTTATTTAATATATTGTTATTGTGTTTGATATTAGTACTTGTTAAAAAAGGCCAGGTGCAACAATATTTTGTAGTTTTAGGGTATAAGTCGGAATTACAAAATCTGATCTAGGCATAAAGCCGGGTTTCCTGAATCCGAGTTTTACAGAAAATCGGATTTTGTAAATCCGATGTAGGACCTAAGTCAGATTTTCAGAATCCGATTTTTGCACTGTTCACTCCTAGGTCGGATTTTGGTGAAAATCTGCCTGGATTCTCAAAATCCGATTTAAGCTTACCCGAATTTCTGAAATCCGACCTTATACGAAAATCGGATTTTAGAAATCCGACCTTGGTCAAAATTTTATTTCAACAAAAAACTAAGTGTTTTTCTTGAAAATATTTTATTTTAAGAAAATCGGATTTTAAAAATCCGACCTTGGTCAATATTTTATTTTCAAAAATCCGATAGGGTCGGATTTTAAAAATCCGGCCTTCCCTTAATCTTGATTAATTTCATTAATTTTTCGTATTAAGGGAAGGTCGGATTTTGAGAATCCGATTTAATTGGAAAATCGGATTTTAGGAATTCGATATCGGTATTTTGCTCTTCCCCAAAATTCGACCTATATTTATCTCTATTCCTTTTTTTGAACTATTTTTTAACTCAAAAACTTGGTTGTTACCTCTTACATTCGCCAAGGACCCATAGTCCTTTGAAATGTATCAGAGCTAGCCCCAATTTTAGAAGCACATTGCAGGTTGCAAAATCTGAAATCCCCAACTTATTGCCTTCTCTCTAATTCAAGCTCAGCAGATTGATGATACAATAAATTCATTCAAATCTTCATGTGGTTTTGACATTTGGGATTTAGTCTTCCATTTTATTTTATTTTTTTAAAAGAGATTGTAAGGTTACTACTATCAATTCAACGTATTTTTTATTTAATGATTTTTTAAGAAATTACTGCCTTTCATAAAAAATATTTTTAGGTCATACCTATTTTACTAATTTGACCTATTCCACTGCCCTTTAACCAAATTTATATATTCGGAAGGAAAAAATATCAAACTATTATTATTACAACTTTTTTCATTAGACTTGATTGAGACCTGGATGTGGTTTCATATAAAAGGCGTAATATATATATATATATATATATATATATATATAGTATTATACTAAGAGAGAAATCAGAGAGAGAAAACAAAAAAAAATTCTAAAGGTGCCACATAGGATAAAATCCTATGTGTCATTTTTCTAATGGTTGAGTCAAAAAATATTTACAACAATTATACTAATAGTCCTTCAAATTTTATGTAAATAAAGTTTTATCAAATGGCATTTAAAACTATAGTTTAAAATAGGAAAATAAAAATTAATTAGATTTAATGGACATGATTAATGAACATTAATGCACCAGAATTATTTCCTCCCCAAAAAAATCCCCAAAATTACTACTGGACTCATTTAATTAACCTCTCTCAAAAAAAAAAAAATCTTCCTCCCAATCAAGTAAATCAATAGATTACAATTCAAAAAAAAAAAAAAACAATGATTCAACATTAATGTTATCTTTAAAATTTTTTTCCAAAAACATGACCCTGTATTTTTCGCCAATAAAAAAGAAAAAAGAGTTACAAAACTTGCCTTCAATTATTAATAAAAGAATGAGATTTAACTATAATTAATTGTTATCTTTTGAATTTCAAACCCATACATTTATTTGCGTAATATCATATCTACCTAAATAAATATAATCTTTCCTTAATAATATCTCAAAAATTGTTATAAACTTTATCTTTATTACTGAAATTTTGGATAATCAATTATCATCAATCCCAATTTATCTCTATTCATACATGCCACACAAACCATGAGTATGTTCCAGTGCTGCAAAAATGTTTCCCTCCCAAAACGACCCGAAATCCAAAGATGAAAGGGAAAAAACTTTAACCCTTTAATTGGTTTGTTGTTCTGAAAGTGATGAACTAATAGTGGGTCGATCGTGTGGCATGGGAGGTAATGGTTAGTTAAGGTTATATATGATTTTTTTTTTTCCGTATGTTTTTCTGCAAAATGACATTTTAGGGTTCTTTTTTAGACGTTACTAAATTTATATTTTCTTTACCCATAATTTCATTAATTATTATTTTCTACTGTCATAGCAAAAAGGGATTAAATGGCAAAAATTTTAACTCTATAGTTAGTTTGTTCCTCTAAAATATTAAGTATTGGGCCAAACAGTACCATAAAATCTTTAATTAGAAAAAAATAACTATAAAAATTTTAAACTTCATACTTCAGTCACACATAATCTACCATCTACTATTGATAATTACTTCATTATGTATTTTACGCGTACAATCATTTTATCTTTTCATTCAATATGTAATCTTAATACAATATTATTTATTTTACTCTGCTTATGAGTGTTATTGTCCAGTTCTTCTCCTTCAATAAAAATCAAGTGAACACTTGCATTTCAAATGATATGCATTATTTTATCTTTACAATTATGCCTTTATTTAATTTTAGTTGTGTAATGTATTTTAATATGGACTCCAAATACATTTTACAATTTTTATATTTTTTTTGTTGATTTTTTATAATGTATATAAATAAACCCCGCGCATCGCGCGGGTTTAACATCTAGTGTGTATATATATAAACTATTTTTTGTGGGTTCATGAGCTCACGAAAACCATTTCAAAAAAAAAAAAAAAACAAAAAAGGAAAAAGGAACAAAATTAATAATTTGGTAGTTCCCTTATCCACATATCAACTCTTCCTTTCGGGAAAACCTTAACAAATACAACAAATTTTTACTCCATTATATGGTGTTGATTATATGGATCATACACTTCTTTTTTGGTACACCCGGTCGAAAGAGTAGCAAAATTTAACCAATTACACTTGACTTTATGTAGATAGAGTAGTTTTGGAGACCCATCGTAAAGACATTAACTTGTTGGAATGAGCAAACATGAGCGATTAGGCCACAGACTAATTAAGTAGTTGCAGGCCATTCACAGAGCACTAAAATACATACAGACTCATGCAATGGAGCCATTTTTTTACTCCGATATGTGAACTTTTCAACTGAATGTTAGCATGAAAAGCGCAAGTTACAGTATTCCTTAGTTTTACATTTTAAGCAGGCCTTTGTTGTTTGATTTACCTTACGCTATCAACGGATTCAACCTTTATTTTGGCCTTCTTATACCGGATTAGTAAGTAGAACTTTGATGGTTTCTCTTGAAGGCCCATATAAGTCCATATGTGGTTCCACCTCAAAATCAATTGGCTATGAGGGGAGTAGTACATAGGATATATATATTGAGTTCAAGAGTCTTCATTCATCCATATGGGACAATGGAACATGAGGTTAATTCTTTCTTTCATTCATTTAAGACGCCCCTCTCAAGCCCAATGGGCTTGGACGGATAACTTTATGTTTTTGTTTTTTTTTTTTAATTTTTTTTTTCAGTCTTGCGATCGGTTATTTTTCCGGATAAACCGTCGCCTGCCGGGCCAGTCAAAGTTCAAAGTCAAACTCTTGATTTCTTTCGTGGGTTGACTAGAGTTTCAAGACCCAATTTGGGTCAGTCCACCTCGTCCCACATATCCCACAAGTCCGCGGATTAAAACCCCCTCTGATACCATCTTGAAGGCCCATATAAGCCCACATGTGGTTCCACCTCAAAACGAATTGGCTATGAGGAGAATAGCACATAGGGTATATATGTTGAGTTCAAGTGTTTTCTTTCATCCATGTGGGACAATGGAACATGAGATTAATTCTTTCTTTCATTCATTTAACAATTTCTAGTACCCTTCAGGGACCTGGTATGATTTTTCTTTCCACCTGTTTGATTCTTTCTATATTTCATTAAGTTCTTCAGCCCAAAGATGAACAATTGCGACGACCATAGTGCTGACGATGACTGATGGATCAAACTCCTTTCTTTTCTTTTTGTCACTATATTTTCAATTTCTTTTAATTCTGCACTACCTCTTTTGTTTTGCCACTATATCTTCAATTTTCTTCGAATTCTGCACTAACTCTTTTGTTTTTAACACTCGAGATGCAACTTAAGAGGTTAAATAGGCAATCAAAATTCCAAACACCCGAAGAAAATTGATATTTATCAAGAAAACTCAACCTTAACTCTATCTCTAAATATTTGGAAGCTTTCATGTTAAAACCAAATTCTCAGGATTGAGATATTCCAATGCCGTTCTTGTGTGCGGTAGAATTTCTAACAGTGGTAATTTCATAATCCTTTTAGCACTTGGAACTGAAAAAAAAAAAAAATTAAGTCGGTTCCAATACGCTGTGAAATAGTAGATCGTAAAATACCATTTTACAGGAAACAAAGATTCTAATAAAATAGGTAGTTGATTTCCTAAACTAGTTATAGTTTGGTTCGGAGGTGTTTATAGAAACCAACTATATATACAACGACAGCAATAAGATTTTTTTTCCTCCTCTCTTTACCACACGCCCTATACTAAAATCTCCAAGCTGATTAATTCTTTTCCGCCGGAGCTCTGGCTAGTTTTAGCTTGAGCTACGATTTGGCTATGGCTGAGGTTTGGTCAGAGGACGAAGGGACGGAAGAATATCGCGAAGGAGGGTACCATTTCGTCCGAATCGGTGACGCATTCAAGCGCGGCCGATATGTAGTTCAGAGCAAGCTCGGCTGGGGACAATTCTCCACCGTTTGGCTCGCTTAGGACAAGCAAAAATCCCGATACGTTGCTTTAAAAGTTCACAAAAGCGAAAAAGATTACAGCGACGCTGCGACGGCTGAAATCGAGATACTAGATCAGATCGCTAAAAGAGATCCTGAGGATGAGAAGCCTGTTGTGAAACTATTGGATCACTTCAAACATTCGGGTCCCAACGGGCAGCACGTTTGTACGGTTCTTGAGTATCTCGGTGATAATCTTCGGACACTGCTCAAGTACTCAGTTTATGCCGGAATCCGGCCTCTTCATAGGGTCAAGGAGATTTGCTTTCATATCTTGGTTGGTTTGGATTACCTTCACCGCCAGCTTTCTATCATCCACACCGATTTGAAGCCGGAGAATATAGTTTTACTTTGCAAGATTGATCCGTCTAATGATCCGACAAAATCAGGCGCGCCTCTTATTCTTCCATCCCGAAAAAGGAAGGCTTTCGCGGTGCCAGAGCCTGGAGATCTTACAAAAAACTCGAAAAAAAAAGCCGAACGGACCTTATGGCAGAAGAAGCTGCTCGCTGAGGCCGATCTGAAGTGTAAAATTGTGGATCTTGGAAATGCTTGTTGGACACACGAACATTTCTCTGGTGAGATTCAGACGAGGCAGTATAGGTGCCCGGAGGTAATCCTCGGATCGCCGCACTCAACGTCCGCGGATATATGGTCGTTTGCTTGTGTTTGTTTTGAGTTGGCCACTGGACAGTTCCTATTTGATCCTCATCCTCGTGATGATCACGACGAGGATGAGGATCACTTGGCCTTGATTATGGAACTTCTCGGGAAGATGCCCCGGAAGATTGCTTTAGGCGGTTGTCGTTCGATGGAGTTCTTTAATAAATCCGGAGGTCTGAAGCACATTCGCGGAGGATTGAAATTCAGGCAACTTAATAAGGTGCTTGTGAAAAAAAATTGGTTTAGTGAGGCAGATGCGGAAGAATTTGCGGAATTCTTACTACCAATGCTTGATTTTGAGCCGTTGAAAAGGCCTACTGCTGCACAATGTCTGAGTCACCCGTGGATGAATAATGTCCCTAGACCTATTGCGCCACGCCGGCACGCACCGGAAAGCGGATGTCCAGAAAAGAAGAGAAGGAGATAGAGTTGATAATCATTGATTGAAATTGGATATAACATAAAGGAAAGAAAATCAAACTATTATTACTACATTACGTATGCCTGATTGGGTTATTCATCATGGGTATAGTTATAAAGTGTATTAAGCAACTTTTTTTGCTAATAAACTAGGTAGCTAGTTGTAATGTCTATTTTAAGATTAGAAAAGTAAAAAGAATGTAAATGACAAAACTTTCAAGAAAAGGTCTGATTAAAAGTGAAAAATAACTTCAAAATAATTAAGCATCTACCTCCTAGAAACATAGACCTTACTTGAATCAAACTAAGGTTGGAGCTACCCAGATCAAATGCAACGGATAATCTTGGCCATCTTTGAAGTCATGGAGTCTTGTCACTGTCCCATCATTCAAGTGAAACACGCCGATATCTGTATAAGTTGATGAACTTCTTCTACTATCATATTCCAGATCTTCAAAATTGTGAATGAAATATATGCAACTCTGATGGTTGAAATTGGGAACACAAGAAGCCTAGTTGCTACGAAAATGATTATCGGACTAGAATATGGAATCTTTGTTTTCCAACTCAAAAATTTCAACCCAATTGAACTCTTGAATATCATATCTGCCCCTTTTCTTTGTCTTGGTTAGTTTGAAAATTCTGAATTTCTCTAAATTTTCATAGACGAAAATGCTTGCTCTATGAACTCTAAGCACTAAGAGTTGGTCTCCATTAGAAGCTTCAACCAAATAAGGCATACAATTGCTGAAATTATTGACGCAGCCAGGTACAATCTCAATCTCAACCAAGGGACCTAATACATCTTGACTGTAGTCAAATGCGACAAGCCTATAGTTCCATTCCAAGGCATAAAACAATCCATTGCAGAATATTATGTCACTATACTTTTGTGAATGTCTTTCTTTATGAAAGAATGTCCAAGATTTTTTGCATGCTTTTTTCAAGGCTAGAGTACAGTTTTCCATTGCGCCTATGACATAATCTTTTGGACTAACTGTAGGATCACAAGAAAAAATCATTTTGTATAAATAATGTGTTTTATTGCAGGGGACGTTAATAATCTTTTGGGTAAAGAGATTATAAATTTTGAAGGAACCAAGGTGTATTGTGTTCCATCGATTATCGATCAACCAGCCATGAGAAGAACTTACGAAATGCTTCGTATAAGCAGAAGGAGCCTGGAATTGGTGGCTGTAAACTTTACTCTCCTGGGTGCAGTTCAAATGATCATCTTTTCCTGAAAGGGTCACTGAAAGCATGGGCGGTTGTGCATGATTTGTTGCAATTCGTTGTGGTTTTTGATTCAGAGCAACGGACCAGAAGGATTTACAAACTGCTCCAAATCGTATGTAACCCTGAAGATTGAATAATTTATTTGGAATCACATCCACGAGTTCTTCAGGAAGATTACTCCAACCTATGGACTCTTTCAGACCTTCCATCGAATCACAAGTGGCCATCCTGAAACCCTTGATCAGGCTATGCGAGGGGTTGTAGGATATGTGCTTAACCCTAACGGTTTCGTTGGCTTTTGTTTAAGCCCTAGGAATTTTGTACGTAATAATAAGCCCAACAACCAATACTCCCTACATTTTCAGAATATAAATTACTTTAGACTTTACACGTTAACTAAGGCGACAATCATTGAACAATTAATTTCGGTATTAAATATCAGTTTTACCCATCATTAATTATATTGGAAGCTGAGGACCACTTCTAATTTGAATTTTTCATTTTTAGTTCAAATTATACTACAAGTGAAAATCTAAACCGGACAATCACACAGACGACTATTATTTATTCGGAGACTAGGTCTTGTTACCAGGGTGGAACTACATGGGGGTCAGGTGGGTCGGCCGACCCCCCAATTCACCGGGAACATGTGAAAAAAAATTGTCCGGAACCCCTGTAGTGATGTAGTTTTTGAAGCTTGACCCATTGAAAATTGAAAGTGAAGAATGAATTGGAGGAGAAGAAGGGTGGATTTCTTCTCTATTTTCTCGAGTTGGGCTGTTTATTTTTCAAAAATAACGGCCCATTTTAGCATTGCATATGATAGATGATTTGCCACATATTAAGCTAGGGAATTCATTTTCAGAGTTGAGAGAAGAGAAAGATACCGGAGAGAGGGAGATCAACTGTATAATTTTCCATAAAATTATCTCTGCAAATTAAGCAGTGTAAACTTATACAGTCTCAAATCCAAGAAAAGTCTAGAAACGGTTACAATTGAATCACGTAAAAGAAATGAGTCCAAAAATAGAAAATAATACTATTTCTATAATTAATCCTAGCCTTGTCCAAAACATAATGAATGCCACCAAGTTTCTTTCTGTTGACAAACAAGCCCCAACTCTTTCACAAATTCCAATCAGATCCTTCATTCCATGACAATCCCTCCTGGAAAGAAAAACCTTGACCTCAAGGTTTAAAACTGTGAAAGAGCTTGGTTATGAACTTCTAGTCTTCCCATGAAGCTTCATCTTCAGTCAGTCCTTGCCACAAGATCAACCATTGAGTAACTTGCTGCACATTTCTGATCATAAATCTCCTCTGAAGGACCCTACTTGGCTGCAATGTAGACTCTTCAACCAAAGCAAGATCAGGAAGGAGTGGAAGGAGGTGGATGACTTCCATAATGTCTCTTAAGCAGGGAAACATGGAACACAGGGTGGACTTGAGAATGATTGGGAAGTTTGATATGGTAAGCAACTTCTCCAACCTTTTCCAGTATCTCATAAGGACCATAATACTTGTAGATGAGCTTTAAACATGCTCTCACAGCCAAGGAAGACTGTTTGTAAGGCTGAAGCTTGAGGTATACCCAATCCCCCACAACAAACATCCTCTCAGTTCTCTTTTAGTCAACATAGTACTTCATCCTGTGCTATGCTCTTTCTAGCTGGTCTTTAAGCATCTTGATGACAATGAGTTTCTGTTGCACCATGTCTTGGACTGCTGGTACAAAGCTATCAGTGAAAGGTCCCGATGGAAAAGGCTAAGGCTTCTCCCCATATAAAGCTTCATAAGGACTCATTCCACTACTGCTTTGAAATGATGAATTATACCACCATTCTACTAAGCTCAACCACTTGCTCCAAGTTGAAGGCTTCTCACTACAAAAACATCTCAAATAGGATTCCAGGCACTGATCGAGCCTTTCTGTTTGACCGTCAAACTGAGGATGGTAACCAGTGCTCATCTTCAGTTTAACACCCACCATTTGGAACAAAGCTTGCCAAAAATTACTGGTGAAAATAGGGTTCCTGTCAGTCACAATATCATCAGGTAATCCATGCAACCTAAAAACTTCCTGCATAAAAACCTCAGGAACTTTTGCAGCTGTAAGGGGAGAAGCAAGTTTGATAAAATGTCCATACTTGGTGAGTCTATCCACCACCACCAGTATAGTGTTATATTGGTCAGAGGGAGGTAATTTTACTATGAAATCCACAGAAATATTCCTCCAAGAGTGCTGAGGGATGACCAATGGCTGTAGTAAACCAGGGTATGCCACATGTTCTCCCTTGCTTCTTTGACAAACCACACATTCTCTTACAAACTTGTCAATTTCTTCCTTCAATTTAGGCCAATAAAACATCAGTTTCAACCTTTGACAAGTCATATGTTGGCCAGAGTGATCAGCAAGAGGGGTAGAGTGATAAGCTTCCAACATTTGTTGCATGAGAGTACCAGCTGTTCAGACATAGATTCTTCCCTTCCACTTGAGAATTCATTGTACCAGAGAGTACTCTTGCTGGTCAGAAATAGTTGTAGCTAAAGCAATGATCTGTGATTCAGCCAACAGATCATTCTGATAACTGTCAGTAATTTCATGAATCCAGTCAGGAACAACAGAAGAAATTGCATTAAGCTTCCCATCTGAGTGATCATTATCCCTCCTAGAAAGGGCATCAACAGCAACATTTTCTTTTCCCTTCTTGTACTAAATTTCATAATCAAACCCAAGTAATTTTGTAAGCCACTTGTGTTGAGCATTACTGATGACTTTTTGCTCCATCCAGTATTTCAAAGACTGGTGATCTGTCCTTATAATAAAATGAACTCCCAGCTGATAATGCCTCCACTTAGAAATAGCCAAGACCACTGCCAATAGTTCCTTCTCATATACTGACATCTCAACATTCTGTTTGCTAAAAGCTTTGTTGACAAAAGCAATGGGATAACCCTCCTGCATCAATACTGCACCCCATCCCTACATCACAAGCATTCGTTTTTACAATGAAATTTTTCTGAAAATCAGGCATTTGAAGAACAAGAGCAATAGTTATGGCATTTTTAAGCTTCTCGAAAGCAGCTTCAGCTTCATCATTCCACCCAAATGCATCCTTTTTAAGCACTCCAGTTAAACTTTTGCTAATCAGGCCATAATGCGGAATAAATTGCCTGTAATATCCTGTAAGACACTACAAGAAAAATAGCTTTTGGCGTCACATTTAAAAGTGGTGTCGCAGAGAAGTGTCGCAAATTAGCGTCATTTTTTTCTATTTGTAGCATATTTGTGGCGCTACGGCGTCATACGATAAAAATGCCACTAATTTACGACATTAAATTTTTCTACCGCAAATTAACGGCGTTTCTTTGCTGCACTCACTTAAAGTGTCGTTAATTTTCGACACGTTTTTATTTTTGTCGCGAGTTTGTGTCATGTTTGTGGTATTTAATAGAATTGCCTCGATTTTGCGTTACTAACTTTTAAGGTCTCAATATCCCGTCATAAGCATTGCATCACTTTAACAAATTGTTGTTCATACGTAAACCATACAAATCCACCTTTTTTTTTTGCAATTATTAAATTCCATCATGACTAAAAACTTATCAATTTTCCATTTTTGTGATTCAAGTTTTGCTATAAATCGAACAAATTTGAAATCATTACAAACAATTCTTATCTAATTCAAATTCACCCCGGTTTGCACTTAGGTTGATTGGTTTACTTCTTCAACCTATAAACTATTTGTTTCTTTATGATCAATATACTTA